TCTGTATAGGTAATTATGGATATGTTACACGTGGCCCTGTGAAATGGCACGGAGGATGGCACATGTTTGTTAATTAGAGCATATAGCTTAATTAATATGCCTTATAAATTATAAAATAATATAGCCTATAAGTATAGCCCGGTACAGGTACCCTCAAAGGCTCGAACAGTTATTTTGTTTAATATAACAATAATATGAAGGAAGCCCCCAAGAAATACTAGGTAAAGGATTTCAGAATCGACTAAAACTAAAAAGGACGGTTACTTTACATAGTTGATATACAATACAAGTACCTACATGTGCATAATGTATATTAAGTATTATTTATTATTATATAATAACACATGTACGTCACCAGAGTAGTTTTATACATATGTAATGTTATAGGTCCTATAATATAGGACATGGATATATAATATGAAAAGGACGAGCCAAGTGAAAGTTTCTGCTAGAATACTTATTAGTTATTAGTTATTAATATAATATATTAGAATACTGATACTATGTAACTACCTACAATTTACAAACTACTTTTATATTACTCTGAATAATTCTGAAATACTGAGATTGAATATATATTTATGAGTTTATGACACCCTATATAATATCGTAGTCTCTTGCAGTTAATTAATTTTAAGTAGATAAAAATGACTATATCCTGTACTCCTGTGACATACCATTATACTGACGTTTGTATGTATTTAATTAATACCATTTGTATACATTATAGGTTCTCATTTTTTAATAAAATAATGAAAATCAAGGATATAGTTCTTTAAACACTAATTAGTGATTTCATACCAACCTTAATTAGTAGGCTGCAGGTATTAAGCAGGTACATATTGATTACAGTAGTAATATAAACATAGGTAACATAAATATAATAATTATTAATTATATATATGTGTAGACCCTGTCATATTTTGAATAATAATTTGATATCAGTATATATGTATTGTAGAACATACCTAATGATTCCCTTAATTTATTAAACTACCTAATACCATTAATCGTTATAATATTTATGTATATTTTACTGTAATTGTTAATGATAACATATTTTGTTTATTAATAATAATTAGAATATGAACTTGATCCTTCGATAAATCTATATACATTAATACGAAATAATACATAATATTAATAATGAATCAATATTATCAGACATTAAAATATTATGTTATTGCATCTAACATAAATAACGACGTTTTAACTGAAATATTTATAAAATGTTTTTAAATTTAAAAAATATTTTCAATTACTTCATTTATCTTTCATATTAAAAAAAACTAACTTTAAACGTTAAATACATTTGAAACATTTTTCAAGTTATCTTTGTTAATTGATAAATAATTATTTTATGTTTTACATTTTAATTAAAATGCTTAATATTTAAAAAAATTATCTAATTGAATTACTAAAATGTCGAATATATAATTCAAAATTAATTTAAACGCAATTACAATATTATCTATTATAATACGTAAAACTATAATATATAGGTAACTTTAATACAAAAAAAAATTTAGAATATTTTATTATCGTTTTATTAACTACTGTAATTACATTTAACAAAATGTTTACGAATAGTTCTATTTTATATTTTAAATTAAAAATATTATGTCCATGATTAGTAGTTACTAATCTCATTTAAGTAGCAGATAAAAATATAATCCATAAAACAACATTTTTCACGAATTTTAAAGTGCTTATTATAGCTGATAATATAAATATTTTAGGTACCTACAAGTATCACGTTCATTTTTCGTTGTTGAATAACAAAATTAAAATCAAAGTCCTTTATGTTCAAGATACAATAATTTCTCTGGAATTATTAAGACATATTATAATATTATGAGTTTTGGATAACCTAAATAAAGTTTACAACTGTAAGTCTTTACACAACATTTGCATTATCCATATAGATTAAATATTTATACATATATAATATTATACATATATTATATATATAAAATATAATATATTATGTGGCTGTAATTGAATTCACACCTCAGAATATTTTTTTAACAGTTGGTTGCATACCTAATATGTTTATTATTAAATAGGATATTATTAAAAATTGCTTTTTAATAATAGGTAATGTAAAACACGATTTACTATACAAATTCAAATATTGTTGTGGTACTATATACCGATGATCCTCTATATTTACTTTTTTTCCAAGAATTTCGTCCATAAATTATTTTTTTGAGTACATCATCTATTACGTAACAAAATAATAATACAAAGTATTTGCGCTATTTACATTAATTATTCAGAATTGTTTGGCGAAGTCGGTCGTCCATCTATTAGAGGAATTCAGAAATTAATTATTTTAATTAAAATTAGAATCTTTCGAAAATAGCATGTACGAAAGTATGACGAACATACTTTTTTGTACTTTACTTAAACATAATTTTTAGTTTCTGATATTATTACCCATTATTATAACTTATAAGTGATAAAATGTTTATCGCGAATCATTCAAATGTGACTAATCATCTAAAATGTAATATTTGCATTATGATTATAGATTAATGTATAATATTATATATTGTTAAATACAATCTATTTTTTTAAACTTTAACTTTATATTGTTTTGTATCCTTGTACCTACAAGTCACGAGGTATGAAAGCTAATAATATTTTTAAATTATATTTAAACACATTATTTTTATATGTACACGTAAATACAATAACATACAATCACGCAATAAATTATAGAATCAATATTGTATCAATCATAAATCCAAGAAACTACCTATCATAGATGTATCAATACAATTTATTATAAGAATCATGCCAAAATAAAAATAATATTTGTAATTCGTATAACACGATAATATAAGACTAAAAATTACCAATATTAGTTATATTTTATATTTTATTATTGGGTTCTTGTTTATTTTAAAATAATACGTAGGTACATAATACAATATATGTATAATATATGTACCTATTTATAAATTATAGTGTTTACAGACCTTAGTGTACAAACTATGCAAAACCATATTATTATAATAATATTTTCAGATGATCGTGGACAGAAATAGATCAGAGTATATTATAATCCTCCAAAAGCTAGGAACTGTGGCCTGTGGGAGTTGTAGACTGCAGCGTTCGACCAATTAAGTTTCGTTTAATTCTACGAATCTGTTAACCCATCATACTATATGCATAGTGCATACAAAACTTTAACACGCGTTAGGTATATAATTTTATTAATATGTCCTTCAGTATCTATAAGTCGTCAAAAAATAATAATGTAATAATGTCTATAGTCGAAGAAGAGTTAAACAAAACAATAACGAAGATTAAACAATCTTTAAATCAAATGTATTATAATTAATAAATATTTTGAAGTTTCATAAAAAATAATTTGATAAAGAAACAACAAAAATGTTTTTAATTACAAATAAATAAGGGTTAGCATTAGGCATAAAAATCATGTATAGATATTAGATACAATGTAGCAATCTACATAATTTTACCTACATAATACACATAATAGACAATATAAAGCCATATAAAACATTTTACCTAGTAAAATACATGCTAATAATCTTATATTTTAAACTGTCTTCACTTTAAAATTTTAAAATGCATTAGTAAATTAAAAATATTTAGGAAACGGTGAATTAGTGGATATCTATCCATTTATGATGGTGGTTAACATGTGTAATTATATACATAATTACATAAAATATATACACTTATAAATTCACATTTGATTCATATAGTTGTTTTTCTAATAATACAATATATACATAAATAATTTACATTTAATAATTAGTAGGTACATTTAACAACAGAAAAAGAAATTCATTATTTAATATGTACCTACCTATCTAATTATATAAGCTAATATTAGTTACCTACTAGCTAGGCAGACTAAACAAATACAAAACGAAAGAATAGGTAGGCAAGCATTTAATTGCTGGTATATATTAATTAATAATTCCACACTGGTAATATAGGTGTTAGGTACTAAACAGTACCCAGCTCATAAATATATTAACTATTTCAATTTTCAAACATAAAAAAAAAAAGAAAGAGTAAGTACCCTAGTTATCACATTTTTTTTTGTAATATCTAATAAAAATAAGTAGGTAATCATGTGTGGTACGGGTAGCTGCTTCATAACAATAAGCAATTAATCTTGTCGTAACTTCAAATTTACAACTTAATGTCTTAATCATTAATCGATATGGTACAGACGTACTGTGTGTAACGTATTACTGTTAATAAAATGGGAAAAGAATTCCCACGTAAAACAAAACAAAAAACCGGTCGCTCTCAGTTAGGTTATTCTCAAACGATTCAAACGAATTTTAATTTATGAAATTCTATTATCTTTAGAAAATAGAGAAAAAACACTTAGACAAAATAAAAAAATAATGTGTAACACCATAGCCAAAACTATAATCAAATATTTGATAAGTTATGTATTCGAACAATATTAAAATGGGGGTCCGCGCTGCCTGCACGTTATATGAATACGATACAGGTACCTACATGGCTATATTATTATTCCAACACAATCGTCAGTGGAATATATTATTATAGTTAGATATATAGTTCATACTTGTACACAGACAGACAAGTGACATATTATCAGATATATTATCTTATATATTTACACAGTGTTCGAGTAGTAGTTATTATATAAAATAATATCAATTGTAAATCATATTACAGGTAGGTAGGTAGGTACGTGGGTGAACATTTACACCAACATTCGAAATCGGACATAACTCACATAGATAGGTATATCTAACCATTTAGTTGTAATAATATTATGCTCAACAATGAATACGGACAAATCGCAGTGAATATAGCATAGGTATCAATAGTGAATATTGGGTAGGTATAGGTAACATCGTTATAGGTACTAAATATAACTAAATAGAATTATTATTCATTATTGTATGTTACATTATATAATAATAACTCATAACAGTAATATATAATATAATATTATAAATATGATCAAAACTTACTTCTCGTATAAGGTATAACGATATTACTGCAGCATTAGACGTTGGATTTCACTCGTACGACGGACGTCGAACACTACACAGACACATGTTAACGAGACGATGGCAGTCCGAGTGTACGCACGTGTGCGACTGTAAGTGTTTATTAAAGTTGTGAACACTGAATAGTGATTTCGTGTCACACTTGAATTACTCGCATGCATCTGCCACTCCTCTTTTCTGCTGCGTACCACAACCTGTTCTTCCCACCCCACGAACGAGAAATAAAAACATCCATAGAAAAATAACAATAATTTACACCGATCTAAAATGCAACGGCGGCGGCGGCGGCGCCGGTGGTATTTTTTTTATTATAAATTCGAAAACGGAACCGGATTGTTGTTTTTATAATAACGTGGAAATTGTAAAACATTTTTGGATGTACAACTATTATAATACCTAGGTATTTGTTATTTACGCTCCGATAATAATGTAACACCGTTCGGCGTCCACCCACGACGACGAGAGTAAAAACTATACAGAAAGTGGTAATAAAAACAGATTAATGAACAAGTGATCACAAAAACAAATTTAATATTTATTTATACACCGCCTTTGTTTTATCTCTGGGAGATAATATTGTGTGCATGTACCGCGGTTTTGCTACTGCGTAAATCTGCATCTGTTCAAAAATACGATTGGTGTTCCAAGGGACTTTTCTCGTGTCGACCGGGCGGCGGCCTTCGGACCAGCGGTTTAAGAATACTGGCAACGCGCAGAGCAATCGCATTTTAAAATAGACAAAAATAATACAACTCAACAACACTGTGATACGGCGGTGTGGACACTATGGTCTATGAAATAGCCGTAAGTCGTAACCTCGGCTCAAGTTCATTTACATAAAAATAATCAAGTCATAACACTATAATAAAGCTAATAGGTACCTGCATAATATTATAATATATTAATATACTATCTTCTGATATAATACTAAACACACGCCTAAAGTGTTCTGTTATTGTTTTCGATTCGATATTCATATTTTGTTTGTTTCATTTTTTAATCTTAAATTTCTCAGAACATCGAGATTCGGCTACGATTGACATTAAGAAAGGACCGACCACCGAATGGGAGGTTGAAAGTCAAATATATTGTTATGATTTATAAGTAGGTGCTTATAAGATATTATTTTTTAATTTTTTTTAATAAACAAACTATCCGTGGAGTGGCCTTTGGACGTAACAGAGCATTATTAATATTTTTACACATTACATACATTTTTAAATGATAATATACGGAATAACTTGTTTAAGAATAAAAGAAAAAAAATAATAATTAAAAGAGAGATATAAAAACAAAGAGGTTATTAATTAAGTATTATATACAATCTACAATTAATTTATGAGATGTATTTCTGAAAGGAATTGTATGATTCTGAATATGTTTTTGGGGTCCGGGTTGAGTAATTCAGCTAGGTGGTTGGAGATTTGGAGTAGCCTTCTTTCCATGTCGTATATTCTGCAATGAATTAAAATATGTTTAACATGAGCAATGAGCATATTAAGGTTTTCGTGTTTTCTTGTGGTGTTTACTGGGAAGGGAGACGGTTGGACAGATAACTTGATTTCGTTAAGTTTGGTTGACATTTCATTCCATTCATTTTGACACCAGAGTACTCTGTCATTTTGGACAACCCTCCTTATGTCATCATAAGGAGAAAAAAGGTAAGGTAAGAGCATTTGGGAATGAGTGAGCGAGTTTGGAGGCTGTACCTGCTTGTTCATTAATCATTGCTATCTATAATATTGCAGTGGCCAGGGATCCAGGAGTATGTAATATTTTCCCTACATTATTTTGCTATTAAATGGGTATTTTGAATTTTCCCGAGTTCCCATGGAAGGTACAGAGAAGTTTCAAATGATACTATGTTTTTAAGATCGTATTTCATATATGCGTAAAATTCATATTAACATAGGAAACCAACCCGTTAAAAAAATGATCATTTTTGACCATAAAGCTTCATAGATCTCTCACATCCTAAATTGAAAGAACGCTACAGGCGCTACAGCTTTAAGACTGAACATTATAAAAACTGAAGCTCACACCTTATGGGGAGCCCAATTTCAAACCATATTTAAGATACACAAAGCCTTTATACTATCAAAACTATATTACGGCTCTCCAATCCTTTAATCAGCCAAATCTACTCAATTAAAAATATTGGATGAGCCTATTCACAATTTGGCAATCCGGGAATCCTTTTCATTGGCGCGTTCGGTTACAGCCCATCAAAAGTATCCTATATGTTGCAGGAATTCCCTCTCTTGAAGTACGGAGGAGAGAACAAACTAACAAATTAACAGCAAGAATCTCAAGATTCCCTCAAGACTAAATGCATCACCACATCACCCAAAACATACTTTCAATGACGCATATAAAAGATATAATATTATTACACTACATATTACTACCTATATCGTTATGATAAGAATATATAGTATGATATCGTATAGTCGTTATGATAAGAATATGTTTAGCAGCCCTACGGTTTTAAATGCAATATGCAAATTTATTGTGCCCGAAATATTTTAATGGAACCAAAATGTGTTATTCATATATTCCAAATCCATATAAACGCATTAAGTCAACCACTAGGTATAAACATTGTTTTACTGCAATAATTTACATATATCGGTACTTATAAGTATAGGTATACCTATATATCTAGGTGTAGTTTATGAAGTTTTAACATAACGTTACTGATTGTTAGATAAGAAGGTTTAAATGAGTAAATGACATATCAGTTGTATAGAGTCATTAAAATAAATCGATAAAAATATTTTTGGCTGCCTTAAGATTTAAAATGTATTATGTAAATTGATTGTGTCCGAAATATTTTAATAAAACCTAAATATATTATTTATGCATTCCACATAAATACTTTAAGTTAATCAGTACAAGCATTTGTTTGATTACAGTTATTTGTATAAATAGGCACTTACCTATATAACTAGCCCCTCCATCTATGAAATTTGAATTTATTTCTGTCTATATAGGTACCCAATTCAATGAATCTTAAAGGTGGTCCCATATCAATATCAAACTACCAACAATGGTTGTTACGTAACAGTGAGATTATATAGAAATACGGTCTCGCTCGAGATAAATTTACCAAGTTACAAGTAGTTACATTATTTACAGTAGATTTACTACATTTTATACATATAATAGAAGAGAACTTATTTGTGCCGTAGAGTTTTAGTTTTTTTGATATCAATACTCAATAGCTTATAATAAATAAAAAAAACAGGTGGCAAGTGGCTGTACTTCTTTGCTGTACAGCTGTAGGTAGGTGTCGAGTGGGTCACTATAAATTGCAATACAGACATTATTTAAATATGAATTCAATAATACATCATTACCTATATACAAAGAACGATTCTGAGCGGTCTCCGTCTCGGTTTTCCAACGGTCAGCCTATATCAAGTATATTTCATGATACGTTTTTTGATGTTGCTACTAAAGCAATTGTTATTAAGAAAATTAATTTTACTGTTGGTATTACGGAAGGTAGAATGATTTAATTTTTGCCGAAAACATTGAATTTATTATAATTTATATCATTAATATTTAATAATTATCATATTTTACTACATTCGTATTTACTATTTAGTACTTACCTAGGAACTAGATCCTAGACCCTAGTGGCTAATAGTCAGTGTATATTAATTTTTTTTTTCAGGCCATTGACTGCAAGTAGTAGTTAGTAGTTATAAATGAGTCTTATAATTATAAATTTCATTATTATTTATGTTGTCTGGAGCCCTTGGATGTCCGGTACTCCTGTTTCCCGTTTATTTTGTATATCATATTATATGATATTTGTTATTAACTTTTGAGTCCATTAAAAATTAAATTAAATATTTAGAATAATTTTTAACTATTACTGTTCTACACTTCTACGCAAGATGGTATTGACTTAAAAGTTAATAGCAAAGTCCTCAAGAATAATGTTTTTGAATTACAACAACATAATTTACCTACTAGTTAAGTCAATTACTAGTTATACTTCTTTTAAATATGTGATTTCATCTAAATTTGAAGTTCAAATGTACACAGGTACAGATAAATTGTGCTTAAGTGATTTATAGAATTTTGGTTTATCGGGTGGTACCTACTGCCGAGTGTCTGCCCAAACACGCACATTTTTGCTATGTATAATTTCAGTCAACAAACTTACTTATTGTCCATAAACTGTACAAATTGTAAAAAAATATTTTTTAAATAAACAAAAAACAAAGAATTTTGGTTTCAGTATGAATTAATGGGGGAACTTATCAAGAACCTTGAATTAAATTTTCAATTCTTATAGCTGTGAGCCTGTGAACTATTTAATATTTTACACGATTTTAAGAAAAAAATAATTTACAAACTATCGAGATTTTGATGTATTTTGTTGAAATTTGAACTTCAAACGCTCATACAAAAATGAGACATCTATGTAAACTTTTTTTTTATTATAAGCTGGTAAAAGCTAGCTTACGAGGAATCTTTTATTATATTTTCAATTTTTACGTATAAAAATACATTTTTTTTATGAATTTCTAACTACAAAATAATTTGCAAAATGTTCACGTTTTGATGAATTTCCTTTCATGCACTTAAAAAAAAATTACTGTGGATTTATGCTCAACTTTTTTTTTTCAACAACGAATTGTCAAAAACTGGTTATTCGTAAAACTTCTCGTTTTTCCTTAATATTTTTTTTCCCGACACTTGAAAACTGCCGTGAATCTTTTACTTTAACCCCTCCAAAGTACCTACTAATGAGATTCACTTTCTTATCAGAAAAGATACTGAAGTCAAAAATCAAAACAATTTTACTTTTCCAAAAGGATGAACAAAAAAAAAAGGTACCGGTTTGTTATAGCCCCGCCATCCATATAACAATAAATACATCGTATACATATACAATTGTGAATTTATTTATGGATTGGATAATAATAATAATTCGATGATATGTATATTGATATAATATTAAAAAACGATGATAAAAAATATATATCGGATGATTATACTTAAATATAAAACAATGATGAGGGGATGAGGTGACCGAGTGGTCTGACGCGTCCGCTGCGACGCAGCCGGTCGCGGTTCGATCCTCGGCTACCGGGCGGCATTTTTCTCCGGACAAGTCGCGGTGACCGAAGAACAAGTGCTGCCATCCCCCACCCCCGGGGCATGGCAAAAACCTACGGGTGCCCCATTCGAAATTCTGCCGAAAACAAACACACACGTGTTCCCCCCTACCGTCCCAAAAATATACAATACAAATCCTACTACAGCTAATGGCCTCAGTCGCC